AAAAGAAAAGGAAAAGAGCTAAGGAAATTCTAATCAAACCTAAAAGAGATAAGTAGGTTTTATTTTTTTATTTTTTGGCTGATTAATGTCTTAAATTATTTTTTTTAAAAGTTATTTTGTTAGTGTTTATTTCATGGGTTGTAATAATTTTCAATGATTATATGCTTGATGCTTGGGATAAATCTATGTATGGATGCCTTGTTGTGATGATTTATGATGTTATGATTTTTTGAAAAATGTCCAAGTATGTGGTGATGGGTTGGATTGAACTTGGACTAAATTTAAGTGAACTAGAACATGTTTAAAGTTGGCTTGGAATGAACTAATAAATTAGTGTTGATAAGGAGTAAATTCTGTCCGAATTTTAGGGTGCATGTTCAAGGATTTTAGGTCGATTTCTGAGTGAAACTTAAAGAATAAAAGTTGTTCATCTATGTTTCAAATAACGCCCTTTAAAATTCCTTGGTCATTGGATTCGTGTACAAAGAGTTATACCTGATTTAGTATGGATAGCTCTAGATAAACTACTACTAGACAGATTGCTCCCTAAGTTTCAAAAATTTGTAATTAATTATTTACTTGGTATTTAGACCTAATTTTTGGATATGTTATAAATAAATATGTCTAGTATCTAAAATAAAATGGGTAAGATTTAATTATGTTTTAAAATTAGAAAATTATTTACTCGATTAGGAGTTACCCGGTAATAAACTCTAAAACCAAAGAATTAGACTTGGACAAAATTAATGGGTCCGGAATAAACTAAATGGGATTGGACTAAATAAAATAGAATTGAATAGAGTCAATGGATCTAGGATAAATTTAATGGGCTCGGATTAAAGTAAATGGACTTGGATCTTCTTTTAAATATTAATGAAACTAATGAACAATATTAATGAGCGGAGATTGTGTTCCCACTGTGGGTATCATGATTGGTATGTGAGCAATGGATAAATTTCGAGTGTCGGTTGAACCGTGAGTATGGCATGAGAATGAAGGGTTGGTACCCGAATTTGGTTAAATGTGATTAAATATGTCATCACGTGCATCATGTGCATAGCGGGTGGTTTAAGACAAGTCAATTGATTGAGAAATGGTTTATACATCTAGGTTTGATAACCTAACTGGAATAAATGGATATTAGTAGTCTAGTACTCTAGGTCGTGTGCCTACACTATTAGACGATGGATTTCCACTAATAGTAGTTGCAACGAGGGATAATTCGTTGTAGCGAGAAGATGATCCGAGGATCATCCGGATGAAATCAAGCCGTGTGCTTGCACCTTGTTAGACGATGGATTCCCGCTAACGGTAGTTACAACGAGGGATAATTTTGTTGTAGCAGAAGGTGATCCGCGGACCACTCGGATGATAAATAGAGTAGACTAGCTAATACCCGGGGTACCCAAGATTAAAATTTATGAGTATGGTGGGAAGTCAAAACAACATTGCATATCACGTGCATCACCTTGCTTACCGAGCTTCGGCTTACCCTGTTGTTACTTTTTTTATGTCTCGGAAAAGGACAAGTTAGTACGGATGCGGCTAACTCCTCCTAACTGGCTCATGTGAGGCACCATATATTAGTTTTTATTTTTTTCCGTAAATTTGGGGTATGGAGTTCGTGAGAAATTGAATATTGCTCGTAATATTTTATTAATGTATTTAATTATGTTATGTAAATTTTATCTTAAGGAGTTATATACGTAATGTACTCGTTAAAGTTCTAAGAATACCATAAGAAAACTACTTAGAGTTTAGGGTATGTCGCCGTAACGCGCTTCGTCCGATACACTTACTTGGGTAGTAGAAATATGATCAGGGCGGGGCGTTACATCGACCATGTCCATAGCTATGATCACATCTTTGTCCATATCCAAAATTAATATAGGTTATCACATTCACTTCAAGAAATGGAGTAGATCTAGTTGAATGAGATTTATTCTTTTTCATCAATAGGTTGTTATTTTATTTTTTCATGAGCAAGTATGAAATTGATTCGGAATATTTCTTAAACTTTTTTTTCTTGATATGCTACTACGGGAGCATATTCGAGATATGAAAAGTAGCAAATATTTACTCAAGCATCAAGTATTCATGATCAATAATTCTTGCTCAAAATGTCAAGGGCCACTAAATCAAGTTTTGTGAGGTTTGATATTATAAAAATTCTTTAATGCAAAGTATAATAATAATATTAGGAAATAAAAATATAATATAATAATAAAATTTAAATAAAAAACATAATAATAAAATTTAAATAATAGATATTAGATCATTAGATTCTATATATTAAATTATTTAAGTTTTTCAAATGTATATTATATGTATCATTAGATTTAAAGTACATGATAAATTAGATACATACCTCTTAATGATCTAAATAATCTAAATCTTTTTATAGAGCACTTATATAGAAAAAATCTAATGGTTGAAACAAATGATTAAGTCTTTTGGTAGATACATACCTTATAGTCTATCTCGCTTGGTTAGAGTTTCGTGTTGATAACATGCTATAAAAAAAATAATAGTAGAATTGAAGAGAAATAAGATAGAAAAATGAATTTACTATAAGATAAGATGAATACAAAAGATAACAACTCAAATAATCTCTCAATTTCTATAAAATACTTATACACAAACTAATGAACAATCAAGCCTATTTATAAGCTTCAAAAGTGGGAAGAGAATTGAAAGGGATTATGAATAATTAAAAGTACATAAATTATTGAATCAATTGCATCACCCTTTTAATTTCTCATATTAAATGATGAATTGAATCACATTAAGAATTATGAATAGTGAGGATAAGAAAAGTATATGAATATTCATGTGGACATTCATTATTTCATAACAACTATAATATTATTATAAATTTTTAAAGAATTTAAGAGGTTTTGATAAGTATTGATTTACTATTTCCTTTTAGTTTTTCTATTTTTACTTCTTAGAAAAATTATTCAATATACCTCTTGAATTAAAGCTTGTAATATGATTTTTTAATCGGTTTAAACAAAACAATAAAAATTTTTATATACTGTAAGAAATTTTGAACTAATGTTTTCAATTTAAAAGGTTTATCTTATTTTCTCTCCTGAAAACTTCATTAATGTTTTTTTTTTTTTTTTTTTTTATGTTAACATATGTTATAAAGAATCCATCTCACATCATAATTTTCACATATGACATAATGTGATTAGTTAATAATTGGTCCCTTGCACACATGGATAATAGCAAGTAAAAATAATAAAAAACAAATTTAAGAACTTTTCTTTATAAAAATGTAAAACAAAAAAAAAAAAAGGTAACATAAGTAAAATAAAAATAAAAATAAATGTCCTAGCTTTGCAGCATGTAACTTTGAAGTCTAGTAGTCTAGTAATTTGAAAAGAAAAGACACCAAAGAAATTAATTTTGAAACAATCACCATAAAGAATTCAAAAATAATTATGAGAAAAAAATTTAAAATTTTTTAAAAGGATTCAGAAATTAGAAAATGAAATTAATCAACAATTACAATTCAAAATTTGAAAATTTAATTTATTTAATTATACAAATTTTTAAAATGATTTTGAAATTTTTAAAAAAATGAAATTAATGAACAATTACGATTTAAAATTTTAAAAAATAATTAATTTAATTATTAATAAAAGAGAGCTATGCATATGGATATTCTATGATGCAAAATCCAATATACCCGATGATGATCCAAAAAAAAAAAAAAATCTTAGTCATGAAAACTTGTGGGTAAAGATAATATAGTCAATTGTTGTCTATCAATATTAGTTTTCAAATAAAAAACAGACAGCAACTCCAACTACAAATGAAGTGGTGTGGCCTCAAAGCCAAAAAAGGAACACAAAACAAAGAAAAGGATAAGAGAATGACTGCTGACGAAATGACAACAAAATTAATGGGGAAAAAAACGATAAGCAAAGGAGGGCATAAACGTAATGTGGTGGTTAAACAAATTGATAAAAAAACAATCAAGCGTGCAAATAAGTAGGACAAACAGATTAAAAAAATGAAAAAAAAAAAAAAAAAAACATGCCAAATCAACAACTGATAGAGAGCTAACCGAAGGCAGGCAGAAACGTACGGCTGAAACAGACATAAGAAATTATAACAGTACACATGATCCCCAAGTCCGTGGTATAGATGGGTGAGGATGAAAAGTCTAATAATAGTAACACCATCACCAGCTTTAGTTTCTTTGGTAATATTCATTAAATTAATAAAATTAGCCTCGTTGCAAAGAGTTTTTATTTACTCGGAATGAATGGACGTGGTCTCAAATTCTAATGCATGTATTTTTTTTCCTATTTTTACATACTCTAGCTAATAAATAATATCTGGATTTATACAACATAATTAATTTTATTTTTGAAAAGCATCAAAATAAAATTTTAAAAATTTGATGTAAATAAGGCTCTTTTTTTTTTTTTTTCATTAGAAAGAAATGTAACAAAGTTCAAATACAATTTTTTTTTCTTTTTTATTTGAATAGATTTCGAGTGTACTTAATACTATAAATGAAGGAGAGAGTGGCTGGATTATAAGATTTAAAGGATTAGTAATTAGGGATATAACAAGAAAACTAAATAATAAAATGTTTAATTTGTTGACAATGGACAATAATTTTAAGACATAACAAAATAGAAAGGTTGAAAGGTGAACACTATCTTTGAGATGGAAGGAGTATTATATTGATGAGGACCAATAAGGGTTTGGTTTCATAACCCTAGATGATGGTGGTGATGATCTATTTTTCCATCAATCGTCCATCAAATCGAAGGGTATTACAACCTTGGATAGAGTGAAGAGATTGAGTTTGTGATTGAATCCTTTGATGATGATTGTACTAAGGCTACTAATGTCACCGCCCTCGGTGGGAACCTAGTTCAAGGCATCCGATCTAGTGGTGGATATGGTAGCGATGGTAGGTATGAAGGCGACGGAAGCTGGGGGTCACGACGGTGGTTATTGAGGTGGTGAAGGCTATGAAGGAGGTGGTGGTGGGTATGAAGGTGAAGGGTACGATGGTGGTTGAGGATACGATGATAGTGGTGGTGGTGGGTATGGAAGCATCGGCTACGAGAGGGCGTTATAGTTGTGGGGAGTCGGGGCATATGACTAGGGATTATCCATAAGGCGATGGCGAGTGGAGGAGGTGGTGGAAGATACAATGGAGGGAGTGGTCTGCGGGGCGATGGTGGAGGGAGTTTCAACTATGGTGGGTCCAACCATTTTGCTAGGGAGTGTCCTAATAGTGGACGTTGATTTTAGGGCTTGAAGTGGAAATAATAAAAAGAAAATTGTGATTTTTATCATGTTTTTCTTTTACTAATTTATTTCTACCTCTTTTACCTTTGCTTTTGGTTTTAGTGGTCTTTTCTTGGTGACTCATTTTAGTGTGGAGGCTTGATGTTCCTTGCTTTATCCGGTGCTTAATGTTTTTTAAGGTTTCAATGAAAGGTTTTTACAATGATGATTGTCTATTTATTTTTGACTTTGGTGCTTTCGATTTCGGTTTAAATTAGAAGGTTTCAAATCGATATGATGGGGATAGGTCTTAAGTAAAAGGGGTAGTAGAGAGGGATTGGATCTTGTTGAAGGAAAGAACACCTTGATTTGAGTTGTAATCTCTCATTATTTTTCTAAAATTTTTATATACATATACATGCTCGGTTTGATTAAAAAATAAGTATTATATTAATGAGAATGATTGTCAATGAATTGAAACTTGACTTGAATCGATCCGACTTTGATGTCATTAAATGAATCCAATATGATCCAAGTCTAATAATTAATTTATTTAATGAATCAAATATGGATTTATCTTAATTCGGTATGATAATAATTCGATCTAAAATTAAAATTAATATTATTTATAATAAATATAATAATTTAAAACATCAAATATATAAATATAAGAAGAAAAATGACACGAAGTTTAAATTTAGGGTTTTTTTTAACTCTAAATACTAAAAACAATTATATGCTTCTTCCCTTTTTTCTCTCTTTATATTGATGACTATTCTTTTAAATAGTTGCATGATAAGTTTTTTTCATCTTTTTTGAAGCCTTAAATTAATTTTGTAAAAAATCCTATAAATATATGAAACAATTTATTAATGGGTTGTTGATAATATTATATTTATATATCTAATTTATAATGTCTTAATTGAATGTGAATATTTCTTCTACATTGTGGCTTTTCTTTCAAGCAATTGCATGACAAGGTTTTTTTTTTTTTTTTCCATCCTTTTTTCAAGTATCAAACTAATTTTGTGAAAAATCCTAGAGACATATGAAAAAAAAAAATTAACGAGTTGTTGATAGTATTATATTTGAGTTTTTAATTTATAACAATCTTGATCAATTATGAATTTTTTTCATTAATTTCAAACTTGTTAATTTTGATCTTTAATATGATTTTTTATTAGCATAATTTAATTTTTTTATGCTTAATGGTTAGACATTTTGAATTTTTCAATTGACAAATTATATATATATATAGAAACTCATTTTTTACATTGAAAAATGATTTTGAATGAAACTGACATTTTTTCTTTGAAAAAAAAATTGAATGAAAAGTTCGATAGATAAATCCAAATCTGAATATTTAATTGAAAAACTTGATTCAAAATTTATAAAATTCGAATTGTTCTATTTATTAAGCAAATTGAATTCAGATTTACGATGATTCTATCTGTTGTCAACTCTGGTTATAAGATCACATTGTTTTTCGCCTTCTTCACAAGAACTATTAAAAAAATTATTGTAAAAGTGATCATATCTGAGAAAGAATTTCTATATATTTAGATTGCATAATTAATTAAGGAAGAATGCTTAATAAATCATGGCTAATTAAATATTGTTAAACTTCACTTGCTCATCTGCAACACGTTGTGTGTATAGATCTCACATGAGCATGCGGATATAATGTAATATAGATGGTTAACTATTCAAACTTCAAAGCATTATTTTCATTACTTATTTTCTAGTGGTTCTAGATCCATAGATCCAAGCAACCGCAGTAAAATGCAGTTAAAAAATGGAAAGGAAAAAAAAAAGCAATGATCATTGTAGATCTCATTGTTCTTTTTTTTTTTCCTTTATCTTCTGAGGTTTTTTACGCTTCCAAGTTCCAGTTTTTTCTTTATTGAATAAAAAAATATTTTTCTTTTGATATCTAGAATTAAACAATGGAATATTTGTGAACTAAAATAATTAACCATCTGTGATTTGAAATAACCACAAACTTCGACTCCATGAGGAACCGAAGAGATCAGGAAACTATATCTGTGATTATATTATGAATCAAAAAAGAAAGAAAATAAAATAAAAAAATAATAAAAAGATAAAAATAATCACACAATATAAAAATTTACGAGATTCGATAATTGTGTTTATTCTACAACTATATTAAAATTTTTATTAGAGATTTTTAGTACGTGATTAGAAATATAAAAAATATTGTCTCTATATATAAAATAGATAACTAGAACTATAATAAAAACAAAAAACCTCAACAAAACTGTCGTGCTAATCCTACGTAACATACTAAATTATGAACTATAGTCATATTATTCTTTACAACTTAACAAGTAATTTAAAAAACCAATAATTACATACGAAAATATGATTCATGCATTTTTTTTATTCTCAAGATTTTTTTTTCAAGTATAAAAATCTAATATAATATTTTATTGTTTAGTTAAAGACATAAAACGAATATAACTATTAAAAAAAAATTTACGTCCATAAAAACTAAAAACTCTCCACTTGTTTAAGCCACTGCAACCTCTTTTGCGTAAACCAACCTTCTTAGATTTGATCTGATTCAAGTGATTTAAGTTTTCTTCTATCATAGAGTGCAATATATATATTCACTTTATTTTATTTTTTTCAAGTTGGCTGATTTTTCAAGTTGGTGAAGACTGTGATTACAATTGAATTGTCTGCATGTGGCGTTTTCGTCAGTATGTTTTCTTATATAGTGGATGCAGAGTAGACTGAAATATTCGAATCCTAGTCTTAAATAGGACCACAAGAATATTCGGGCTAGGCCGTCCACCACTTTACACGTCACTGTCTGTGTAAGCCGACTGACAGACTGTGTAAAGTATGTATGTTTTATTTTTTAACCGTTACAAATTAAATCATTCAATAATATTTGGTTCATTTATTATATCTATTTTTTTTCTAATTTTAAAACATAAATAAAAAAATAAAAAAGAAGGAAATAAAAAGAACTGATTAATTAATTTTTAAAACTAAAAGAATTATTTTAATTGGTAAACTAAAGACACTAATTACTAATTTATTTTATATATAAACACGAGAAGTCATACATTTTGATGGAAGAAATGATTTGAAAGATTTCGCGAGAATGAAAGAATTGACATCTTATGTTCAATTTATTTGAAAAAACAATTAAATTATTAGTAGATGAATTTATTTGGATTTTGTTTTTACATTGTTTAGTATTTTTAAGAGAAACAAATACTTGAAAAATAATATTCAATATTTAAAACATTTCAAAAATTTGAAAAAAAATATAAAAATATTTATAGAATATAAAATACCTCAACTAATAATTCTTTTAATTTCTTATTTTGAATGTTATTTCATATGGGAATTTTTTATATTTTTTATTTTGTTTTCGATTTCAAAATTAAATTGAGTACATGAACATATCTATGTCACACATCTAAGGATTAAAAAATTTACTTATAATAGTGTTATAGACAGAGGCTCTTAACTCGTAAATAAAGAAAAATTTTATGTTACTAACTAACAATACTTATTCTAAAGAAGATAAAAGAGAAATAGAAGAGAGAATTTTTTTTTAAAAAATAGATTAAATGAAAATATTTTTATTACTTTTGGGATATATATATCTTGTATGGAGTAAATTTTTTCAATTAATGGTAGAATATTTCAAATTTTTTTGTAAATAAAATGTATCGTAAAAAAACTCCTTTAATCATATTAATAATAAAAGACTTTAACTAATCAAATTCCAATAACGGAAGAATGTTGATTGTAATTAATCCACCGAATGGCATTTATCGGATTTAACAATAAGTCTATGTGAGCAAATTGTTAATAACCGCCACATGTGCAACTAATTGTTACTTTGAAGATTAGATAATTAGTTTGTTAAACTAATTATACGATCCGTAGTTTGTTATAGGTCATTATTGTTAATTAAACTAGTACAAAAGCACTAACAAGTGCACGTAATTAGTTACAATGCAAAAGTTGAAAACATAATCAACTTTACCAATTTTTCTTCTCTTTTTTCCCCCTTATTCTTCTTCCTTCACTCAATCATGGAAGTTAACATGGTATTAAAGCAGATGAAGTATTCTAGGGTTTCATTTCTTCATTTCACTCGTTCGATTTTCTTCTTCTTTTTCAATTTATATGCCATGGTTGAATTAACTTAAACATTTGAAGAATATCACTCTTTGTATTACATCCATCATTTAGATCATCATGATTCTCTTGTAGTTACTCCTTAACTAACTACGGAAAATTATGCTAATTAGAGTAAATATTTTATGCTTGCTCTTTCAATTCGCAACAAATTATGTTTTATTGATGGTTCTATTTCTCAACCTACAACGGATGATCCTCTTCTTAATTCATGGAATAGGTGTAATAACCCGATTGTGGCTTGGTTATTAAGATTAATGTCACCTTCTATTGTTGTAACAATGTTCTATATGAACTCAACCTTGAAGATTTGGGAAGTTTTGAAGAAAAGGTTCTCACATGTAGATGAATCGGGGATATGCGACATGCGAGTGGTCTCTATGTTCAATCACTTAAGGTTCTAGATCTATTACGCTTATTTTACTAAGCTCAATGGAGCATAGAAAGAATTAAAAAACTTTAGACCTTCACCTCATTGTAGTCGTGGAGCTTGCAATAATGAGTGTTTTCGAAGTTTGTAGAGATTCATGAAAATGATTATATGTTTAAGTTCATCAATGATTTAAATGAATCATTCAATTTACTAAAGTCTTAAGTTCTGATTATAAAGCTATTTCCTAACTTAGATGAAATCTATAATTTGGCTATGAGAGAAGAATCTCACAAATCTAGTCAAATTCAAAATCAACCTTTTAACGAGTGCTCTACTATGACTACATTCTCTAATAATAGAAAAAGAATATATATCAATTATTCTTACTATGGAAAATCTAGTCATAGTAAGGAGAAGAGCTACAAGCTTATTGGTTTTCTTGCAGATTTCAAATTCACTA